TAAGATAGAGATAGGGTAGAAGAAAGAAGAGTCGAGGCAATCAAATCTTGTTTTCTTTCTCTCTCAAGGAAATTAAGTAGCACTTAAGAGAAGTCTCACTATAAGATGTGTATTGATAAGGAGACATGCTTATTTTGAAAATAATAGGAAATGATATGTGACAAATACATATTTTAAAATCCATAAAAATTCCTAAAATATAATAAACATATATAATTGCAATTGTGCCCATCCAAATTAAAATCACATTTCTAAGATATTGTGAAAATAAAAAATTATAAATTATTATTATCATAAAAATATTAATGCTTCATAGATTAGATTATGTAAATCATCCATGAGTATCGACAAAGTGTCCTATATACAAAATGGTTAATTCGATTATTGTTGGAATACTCTCTTGCAGCTTCTAGCTGTATAAATGGCCTCTTATGTTGATTCATGAAATTGAGAAATGGATTAGGAATTCCATTTGGACTACGGACATTCAAAGGCAAGGGCAGGTGACTGTGAATTGGTCTAGGGTTTGTGCACAAAAAACATAAGGTGGTCTGCAAGTGACAAATATTTTGGTGGAGAATAATGCCTTCTTGATCAAATTAGCTTGGGACTTTGCTTATAGTGATTTTGCTGGGTTTGAGTTGATGAGAAAGAGGTTTCTTAAGTTGAAATTTAAAAAGTGTGTGGTTTATCATTTTTCTTTGATATGACCTAAGATATAAGAGATTTAGAAGACTCTGGTTGGGAAGTGTTTCAACTTTGGTTTCTCAAGCTTTCTCTCATCAAGAGGTTGTGACATAGTCTCTTAGAGGTCGTTGGAGGAAATGCATAAAGTTTTGTAGTGGTATTGATTTTAAGGTGTCATATTTTTCAAGAAGAAAAACATTTTGTAGATGAGTTGGCAAGTTTAGGCTTGTCCTGAAGAGTTTGAATGGTATACAGTTATGCCATTATAAGTTTAGACTTTTATTATAATAGGTTTCTTTTTCCTAAGTATAGAGCTAGTTAGATTGTATATAGTTCTATAGTTGGCTTGTTTTTTGTTCATGCGTTTTAGTTTGGTCCTCCCACGAGTTCTTTGTATCTTTTTTATTTTTAATAATATTTTCATGTGATAACAAATGATAAATGTACACTGGGTGTCACAATAGCTTACATGCCAAGCATCATAGTGATGTCTAGCATGAGTTTTATAAAAGAAATTGAATTACCATGAATCACAGGTGAAAATCGTTAATTTCAAATTCCTATTTTAGGTTTTGCTTGGAAAACCATTATCAGTTACATGAAAAACCTATTAAATTCATATGCAATGATGTACGCACTCAAGTTACCTCTTCCTGTAGCTCCACATATTGTCTGATCCAATCTGCCTGAGATGGTAGACAAGAATCTAAAGTATCATCATTCCATTGTCTCTTGATTAAAACTGGTGATTCTGGAGCATCTTCCTTAGTTGTAATAGATGGATCCACGGCCGGAGTAGAATTGTTCGGTTGATTTGATATAACACCAACAGAACCCCCTAACAAGGCATAACAATTATATGATCACTGTCCAAAAAAGTCCAAAAAATGGATGAAATCAACAATATTATATAATAAAAGGAATTACTAATATACCTTCGCTGTAATTGTATGTTCCAGTAGAAAACTTTAGCGGAAGTTCATTCCCCGGCAAATTAAAGCATAACCAATCAAGAGCTGATTCAAACGTAGCAGCTTCCTACAAATTATAATGAAACGAGAATGAATAAATTGTTGACGAAAATTTGAAATTCCATAGTTCTATGCTCAAGATAGGTGGAATGGATTGCGAGCAGTGTACCCTGAGAGCAGAGAGAGCGAGCTCGATTTGACGATTGGTGAAACCTTCGCAAGAGAGCTTATCGTAAACGGCTTTGAGCTTCTTTGCCTTCTGGGCCTTGGTTAGAGTATCCTCCGTCGCGGTCGTTGCGGTAGCAGTGGCAGTGGCAGTGACAGCCGCAGGGTTGGACCGGGCCGAGTTAAGCAAGAGGCGGCGGAGGCGGTTCTCATTTTCGGCCGAAATTTGAAGCTTCGGACCGGATTGTGCCTTTGCCTTCAGCTTGTTCTTTTTCGGCGCCATATTTCTTTGTGAAATGTGTTTCGGAACGATCAAAAATTTGAGCTTTGCTTTGCTTTACAATGCGTCATTCGCCGTGGGCTAAATTATTTTATTTTTCTTTTATCTAGTTAAATTTATCCATTTTTATTATATTGTAGATGATGACAAAGAAAAAAATGTTTTAAGAAAAAAAAATTCAATGATTTATCTATTCAGTACAAAAGCAGTCTTTAATATCGAATTTTATTAGAGAAAACGTTAAATTGATGTCGAATTTTAAAAATTCGACTTTTCCAGGAAAGTAAACTAACGTCAACTTTTGTCAAAAGTTAATCAATTTTTTTATGCGCCTATAAAAGAAAACATAATGAAAATAATTGGTCAAAACAAATGAAAATCATATTTAAAGTAATTAATAAAATAAATATTACATGGTCGTGAAACTTCGTTCCATAAAAGTTTGAGCAAAATAAGAGGATCTCGGGAAGTTAATGAATTTTCAATCTCACGCTCAAAAATTTATTAATTCACTAGCCTTTTTATATCATTTTGACGTCTAATTCTAGAGTATTGGATGTCATATGTTAAATACATTTTCACCTTCACGTCAACCATTTTCACAAAATTTATCCAATAGCATGTCAGACTTCTCAATATTCGACGTCTCGAATTACAATTTAAACGACATCTAATAATTGCATTTATTTACAAAAATGACATCGGTCATTTTTAGGATTTGTTCACTTGAATGCATTTGGGGGAGAGTGATTGAGAGGATCTGAAGATAAATTTTTTTGTTGTTTATTTGAGTGAATTTGGAGATAAGTGAGAGTGGATTTTGGAGTAAACTTTTTTAATTTGTCTCATCAAACAAATCTTACACTAATTCTCACAAATTTTACTTCCAAATTTAAGTGAACAAAATCTTAATGTTGGTTATTTAGTGGTTGGAAGTTAAACATGTTTTTGCACTAATGATTCAAGACTCTAATATTATAAATTGACAAGTGATACAACAATTATTAATATTAAAAACTTATTTACCTTCTGTACATGCTTTTGGATTATGCTTGGATTGTATAATATTTTTTTCTTATTTTGAATTATCTTTGGAGTTTAACATCATTTTAGAGTGATGATTATTTAGATTTGAATTAAAATGTATAATTTTTTTATTTTAAAAAAACTTATAATTATAGGAGTGAGTGAGTCAACCTGTCCAACTCACCAACTTGTGATGGATCACGTAGGATTCAGATTTTTTCAATTCGGTAATAAGTGAGACGGATTTGATTAATTCACTAGGTGAATAATCTGTGGTGGGTTGGGCCGGGTCGAGCCAAATTACTAGTTTTGGCAGCTCTACTTGGAGTGTTTCCAACATCTCATTTTGCACCTCCAAAAATTCCATTTTTAACCTTCTAACATCTCAACTTCCACCTCCAACTTTTTCAAAAGATTTATTTTTTAACTTTAATAAAAATATTTTTATTTTATTTTCTTTCTTATTAAAGAGACTTTAATAAATATCTTTCTATTTTCTCAATATTTTACTAAAGTCACTTTGCACCACTTTAATAACAATTTAATTTAATTTAAAATTGAAATATTATTTAATATAATTTTATATTTTAATAGTTATTTATATGATAATAATAGTTATATTAAAAATTAAAAATAAAATAATTAAAATAAAATAAAAATAAATAATAAATAATAAATAATGAAATAATAATAACAATATAAAATTTGATTTGATATGTTAAAATATATTAAAATAAATTAAACAATTATTAAATTTTAAATAGATTTTTTTAAATAAGCTAAGTTTTGTTTTTTATTTAAAATTTAAGAAATATTTCATTTAAATGAAAATTATAATATCATTTATTATAATTTTATATTTTAATAATTATTACAATATAATTTATATTTTTATAAGTTTTATTAAAAAAATAAAAAATAAAATAACTAAAATAATAATAATGAAAATAAAAATAATATTTAAAATCATATTTAATATATTTGAATATATTAAATTATATTAAAATATTAAATTAAATTAAATAATTATTAAAATTAAATAAAAAACAAAATTTTAAGAAGATTTTTAATCGATATCCATATCGTAAAATATATTATCGGATTTCCGATTGACAAATTTTTTTTTTTTTATATTTAAATTTTAATAATTATTTAATTTAATTTAATATTTTAATATAATATAATATAATTAAATATTTTTAATGTGATTTTAAACACTATTTTCATTTTCATTTTTATTACTTTTATTTTAGTTATTTTTATTTTTACTTTTTTAATATAATTATTATAAGAATATAAATTATATTTTAATAATTATTAAATTATAAAAATAGGATAAATAATAATATTATTTTTAATTAAGTTAAATATTTATTAAATTTTAAATAAAAAATAAAACCGTTAGCATATTTAAAATTTTTGTTTTTATTTACAATTTAAGAATTGTTTAATTTATTTTAATATTTTAATATATTTGAACGTATGAAATCAAATTTTATATTATTATTATTATTTCATTTTTTTATTTTTTATTTTTATTATTACTTTTATTTAATTATTTTATTTTTATTTTTTAATATAACTATTATTATAATATAAATCATATTTTGATAATTATTAAAATATAAAATTATATTAAATAATATTTAAATTTTAAATTAAATTAAATTATTATTAAAGTGGTGTAGAATGATTTTAGTAAAAAGGAGAAGAAAATAAAAATATATTTATTAAAGTCTCTTTAAAAAGAAAGAAAATAAAATAAAAATATTTTTTATTAAAGTTATAAATTAAATCTTTTCAAAAAAATTGGAGGTACAAGATTTTAAAAATGTAATTTTTGCAAATGAAACACTCCTCTACTTTTAAGATCAATGGAATATTATCCTTTGAATTCCTATTTACTGCATCCCAGGTTCTTACTTCTGCACCTCCCTAACTTTTTAAAATGTCCATTCCACCTTTTACTGAATAGTAAAATAAAATCTCTCACTCTTCACCTTGTGTCCAGCTCCTTCGTCTTTACTTCCTCTGCACCTCCCTCCCACGGCTGTTGCAAATCTGTGCACCTCCATTGGGGTTTTGAATCAAAGGTTTGCGTCTTCCACTCATAAGCATCGAGTGAACCTATATCTCCTCTCTTGCGTGGAGGGGAGCTGAAGGAAATATTTTGGTTTATTTATAGGTTTTCAGATTGAGTAATCCGAATGTAGTTCTGAATTCGGGATTAAATTTCGGATTGCTTAACCGGGAAGCTACTAAATAAATCAACTTCGGATTACTCCTTCAGTAAGGTCATATTGATTCGGAAAAAGGATTTGGATTGTTCTATTTGGAATGTACCAATAAAATGTTGTGTATATTTTATCTTATTTGTTAGTTGTGGTTATTTTTGCAGGATTATGGCAAGGACAAGAGGTGCCGATACCGTAGGTGAAGGCAGTAGTGGCGTTGAAAGACAAAGACCCGTGGCATCAATTCGAAGAAGGAATCATTGTGAAGCTCTTGATATAGACCTCGTTAGCTGATCCTGCTGTAGTGGATTCTGTAGGTGTAGGTGGAGGTGAGGCTGTAGTTGTAGAACAACCGGCATTAAGGGTGAAGAGGTTGAAGAAGGATTTGTTGGGGTCCATTGGATACTTCTCTACTAGTGGACTATGTTGATCATGTGGCATTGAATCTCGTGGAAGAAAGTTGAGTAAACTAGATGTTCTTGATGGGCATGTTGAGGAGTTTGTTCTAAATTCTAGGTTGCTGCCTTTATGTAACATCAGGTATGAGACAATGGACAAAGGCTTGTTATCATCATTTGTGGAGAGGTGACATAGAGATACACACATTTCATATCTCCATTGGTGAAATGACGATAACACTGGATGATGTTGATGCATTACTTCATCTTCTGATTAAGGGACAGTTTTGTCCATTTGTCACTTTGGAGTTTGTTGTCGTTGTACCGGTCTTGGTGGACTTGTTAGGTGCGAAGAGGTCAAATGTCACCTTAGAAATGACAATGAGGCATTGTCGGGGGCCACTTGTTAGATTGAGCTGGTTGAGAGAGATTTATCAGGAGTTGTGTGCTTTGGAACGTTGGGACTTAGCCCCCCGAGCCTTCTTGTTGCATTTGTTGGGTGCACGATCTTTGCTGACAAAAGTGTCACTTCAGTCAGTATCTCATACTTACCTCTATTCAGGGATTTAACATTGTGTGGTGGGTACTCTGTGAAGTTATTGCATTGACGTATATGTATGAGCAGTTTAGTGATGCTTGCTTTGCCCATACAAAACAATTAGGAGGTTATGAAACACTTACAAGTATTTTGTATAGAGATTGCATTTATATTTAATATCTAAGTTGTTCGAATGATGTGATGTTCATTTTCATTTATTATAGGGTTGAATTATGAGTACTTCAAGAAATACGTACTTATAGCTTTTAACAAAGAGAGGTCTCAATCCCTGACAATGACATTAGGAAATGCATCTCTCAAAAATAATCATGTTAGTCTTTTGAATGTTCAGATGAAGTTATTCTCTTGTTTGCTTTGATAACAACACAAAAGTTACTGAGAAACTCAACCACGTTGAAGTGACACCTATTATCTCTAGCAACCACAATCTATATTAGTTGATCTTGTATGTGTTATCTATCAATAAAACGATATTAAATGTATTCAACAACTTAACTATATCAGGATATGTCTAAAAAAAAAGTCAATAATCACATCCGAATACTGAATGCATCTACTCTAGTGCAAATAGTTATCACGTTCTAATGATACCATTAGCTAGTGCATTTCAATTGTACACTCCCTAAGTGATCTTTTGTAAACATCTTGCATTGTAGCTCTGCTTGATTATTGTTGTGTTATCTTTATTGTTTTTCTTTAATATAAATATGTTTGTTGACTTCACTCATCTTTTAGTCATGTCAATGACCATAGATTGCTAATGTGTCTTTAATCTACCAACATAAAGATGACTAATTAAAAATTTTGACAAATAATAGTTGAGTGCCACATATTACCAACTACAACCATTCTCCATTATCAATTGGTTTTCCTTGCAATTTAAAAGTACAAACATATTTCTTTGTTTTAATTATGTTAGACTACAAATCAGTCTTGTACTTTCTATAATTTCAACTCGTCCACTCTTAGCAACACAAATGTCTTTTGTCCAAAATACCTTTTAATAGTGTGAGATCTTATAATTACAATAACAAAACCAAGACTAAAAGTTATATCTCAAACCCATTTAAGTAGGTTATCCTACATACCAAAAATCTCATTAGTAGTAAACATTACTGAATAATTTCCTTCAATCATTTCATATTCACTCAAACAATTCACAGTCTTCCATATACAAAATTTGGTGAATTTCACGTGATACATTATTCCAATAATATGTAACATCAAATACATAACACAAAAAACATTTAAAAATTATTGGATCCAAAAATTTAATTTTGCAGAATATGCACACTTCTATCTACATAATTATGCAGAGAATATACAATTTTTATTTTTAACGGTTAACTTTAAGTTGATTTTTGTATCTAAGTATCTTTTGCAAATACCTTTTGAAATGTTTAGACAATCTATTTGACCTAGTACTTGAACTTCAATATAACTTTTAGATTTTGCACGACTCACCACAACATAGACTATTGACTTCAACCCCTAACACATTATATAATTGTGTATATGGTGTTAATGTTTATATTTATGCCTTGTTTTTCTTCATTATATTTTATTTACCTTTTCTACATTTATAATATCTATTATTTGGTGGCCTGTTGCAATTGGAAACAGAGACTATGGTAGTGATACTATTTTAACAACAATCATTGTTCATTGTTTTTATATACACCTATTTTATTCAAATTGATTATATAAAAAAAATTATCTCCAATAAGATTTTCTTAAAAGGTTTTAGAATCAGACTAATAAGATTAATCACACAATCACAATGACATTGAACTTTTTGGAGAACATGTCAAAAACTCTTCTTTTAGTTCATGTGTGTTAATAATGAAGAAGGTCAATAAAAAACAATAATTTAACAAATTTATATTATATTTCTTTTTGAAGGAGATACGTTCTTCTTGCATATTTTTCCAGAAGAACGTAAGAGAACCGACCAATTATTACCAAATGAAATATATTATCCCATATTTAAAAAAACAAATGAAAATGAGGAGTTTTAGAAAGTGACAATAATATTTATAATTCAACATTTCATTATGTAAATATTTTCTCACTTCATAGTGACATGACTAATATTATAATAAATATATGACTATAATATCTACTATAATTTGGTAGTATGTATAAAGAAAACTTGTTCACTCGTAGAAAAAAAAAATGAAATCGATTTTCTTACAAATTAAAACAAACTTATAAATAAGTTTAAAACCAAATTATGTATAAATGAATAAGAAATGACTTCTACGAATTATTATTATTATTATACATACACACTAATTTTAACTGATAGAGAAATTAATTTCACTTTCTTATTTTTCTTTTTAATAAATGCAAATTAAAAAGTTTCTTAAATAATAAAAAAGGATTATTTGCATCGTGCTAAAGGGAACAGAGTCCATTTGGATATTAAATTGTTATACAACTTGTTGAAAAAAAATATAAAACAGTGGTACCACAAATAATTAGTTTTTACTCTTATTGCTGATTACTGCTTAATGTGAAATATAAATCTAAAATCTACACATAGCAAGAAGATAACAGTAAGCGAGGTACATCGATGAGTAGCCCTTCATTTTTGTTTCTTAATTTATATTTCTTCTTTCACTCATCTCAACCACTCTTCAATTAATGGATTGAGTAGCGTTATCTATGCAGTTGCAACTTGGTCATTAAATAAACTTATCCCTTAGGCTTTTGCTTCAAAAGTCCGGAGAGGGAAGCACAGTGAGTTGAATTATAATTGCATTTGGCACAGCAGGAATCCAGCAGCTCAATGACTTTAAGGCACCTGCCAAAATGAAATGCCTTTTAGAGAGACATCTGCCAACTACTCCATGTTTATGAAATTAGATGCAACGAAAACACAATGATCTTCCCAACTACGTATGCTAAGGTTTTAAGAAGTTACATGTAATAATAAACTGCTGTACATGCGTCCGAAATTATGTAAGCGTATATTTTTTTAACAGACCAAGATCCTATGAAATACCAAGATTTTCTTAGAAAAAAAAAAGAGAATAAGAAAATGAGAGGATGAGAGAAAATAATTTTTGGTGTGTCTTTGAAGTGAAACAAGTGCTCTATCTATAAATGCTGAAAATGAATGATCCAACCCAAAAAAAATACTTGCGGAAGAAGCTGCCCGAAACTGACTCCATGGCTTGCGGGAGAAGATATCACAGAAGATAATGTCCGAACCAATTCCCGAACCTCGCGGGAGGATATTTGACGAAGGAGAGGGAGAAACTCAACCTTTTCGTAAGACTTTTTGCAATACAAATATAACAAACCTCCGGCAGAGTAGCCCTGCTTGGTTTATTGGCAGCGTAAGACGTTAGCTTATATGGCTTTCGTTAATTTTATCAGAAGTTTAGTTAGAAACGCAAGTCCCTTATGATACTAATAGGCGGTGTTTTTTTTTCATACTGGAAACTCTAAATCGATGTTCCCTCAAAAGTTAAAAACCGTTGCTTCTCACATTAAGATGCTTTGATCTGAGTAAAACATCAATTTGAATAAGTTGTCAATCGGGTGCAAAAATGGCACTGTTTAGGGATTATTCATGCGAGGGAGGTAAACCAGTGATGTTGCCTCCTTTATAATCTGACCTCTAATTATGTTTGTTTCACACATATTTATATGAAAAAAAAATCTTACCTCCACTTAGAACACATTTAACAGTGAATCTTAATCATAACATCTATTACTTACAAGGACTTTAACAATAAAGGAAGAAATAAGATCTTCATCCCGAACAACAAATTTTTCTGCAAGATTTCTTAAGATCTCAATAATAATAATAATAATAATAATAATAATAATAATAATAATAATAAAATCATATTTTATATTCTCTCTTAAAACAAAATTAATTTATTGTGGAACCTACATAAAGTTACTTAAGATTTCAAAGTGAGATCTATCATTCAAATAAAAATTGAATGAGATTTTAAGACCTTACATCCTACATGACATGACTTACCAAAAAATAATGTAAGATCTCAAGATAACATGTTAGCTAGATGCTCGTAGAGTTTAATTCTCACGTATTTTTCATCTCAGATTTGTCTCTCTTCAACCATTGTTTGGTGCCACTGGATGAAATAGGAAAAGCAAAGTAAACAAGGCAAAGCTAAAGGTACAATAGGAAGGGACAAACAATAAAAGGAGAGTAAATTATAATACGGTAAGGAATGTAAGAGCACGAGAAGAAACTTGAGGCGCGTCTAAATGTCTAAATCACTTGGGTCAATAGCAAGATCATGGGGTGATCGTTACTCACACTTTAAGCATAAATCATCATTCACCAAGGGGCGGGTATAAACGAATCTTGTCTCTTTGGGGCAAAAAGAGTAGAGACAACAAAGTCAAGAAGAGGAGAAGGGAACACCTAAGAGAAAGATTTTGGATCAATTAAAGGAACAAGAGGTCATAAAAAAAATTTGTATCTTCAAATAAGGTAACATTTATGGAGACGAAAATTCCCTAGTAGTGAGTGATTAATAGTGATAACCATTTTCTACATGAGTGTCCTATGTTGATGTGATCTTCCAATGTTCTCATCACCTATGACTCATGAAGAAACACTTGGCATGAATAATATAACCAAAGTCAGGAGGACTAATAGAGGAACGTTGCAAAAAGGGATCCTCAGGATATAATATGGAATGAAGAATCTAGTTATTGAGAACAAAGAATGACATCCAATTTATCAAATATCCAATGGTAAGTACAACATTGCCCCAAAATTTTGAAGGTTCATTAGCAATCAACAACGTAGTATGTGACTGTTGTCCACAATATGTCAATGTTTTCTTTTGTTTAAACTATTCTGTTGAGTTGCAAAAGCAACCAGATTGATGTATGAATCCAAGTAAGGTCATAAAAACAGGAAAAAAAAAATTCTTTGGCATTGTCACTTTGCAAATTACAAATAACCTTACTGATTTTGATTTTGATTACTGAACACCTGTTTGGAAATTACGAACAACTCAATGAGAAAAATCGCTAAGGTAACATAATCCTTAATTCCTGAGAGAGAAGGAATATAACTGAGAACCCAAACATCAAAAGGATGTGAGGCTTGACTGAGAACACGAGTAAAGGAAGCTCCAGCATGACTTTCCATGCCATCATGTTTCACACTCTAACTGGA